CCCCCCCCCCCCCCCAAACATCTGTTCTAGGAGTATTAAGTTGGTGAGTGGGTATAAGTCGGGTTGTTTTATTGCAACAACAAATGCATGTGCACAGCTATCTGATGTAATTACCACAGTGATATGTTTATGATAGTGAATTTCACACACTTAAAGAGGATAAGAATTTTCATGCATTAGTGGAGTGGGGGTATGAGTGGTTATGAACGAATTAATGAAACGCATTTGTCCATGTCTCGAGCAAGACTGTATACGACACTTACATGATCTGACTGATTTTTACGTAGAAAGGGCGACAGCGCGCCGCATTAAAATAAATTATCATTCATGTTTTCATAACCGCTGGCCAAATTAAAAAACGAAACTAAAATGAAATCATCTTTGAGAGCAAGGGAGCCCCCCTGGTGTTTTGGGGGCCCTACGCAGCATGCGTATTGGCTCTGGCGCGCAGCACATTAAATATTCATTACAAAGTTGCTCTCAGCAGCGTGGACGACGTCTGGATGTTTGCTTGCAAAGGTATTACAATTTTTTAGTTCTAAACAAAGAACGAAAAAAGGGCTTCGCCGTGAGTATGTAGGCCAGGGTTGCCAGGTTTTCACAACAAAATCCGACCAATTGCTACCCAAAACTAGTCCAATGGCATTTCGAGGGGGTTCACCCGGTAAAAATCGCGTTCCGGGGGGAAAACCCACGTTTTTGGCGGGGTTGCCCTGGTAAAATTCCCATTCCATATTTAGTGGCTATCATTCCATATTTATCAGGCTATCAATAATATCACATTATTGGGGTCGCTTCAACACTGATATAGGGCCACTGAATCACATTCAGTCTCTTGTAATTTACGTGTGCGCGAGTGCGAGCACAGGCAAATAAGTTGCTGGCTGCAGTTCACTTAATGGCCACCGGTGCTCGCTAATCGCTAATAATAACCAAGCGGCAACCTCCCGCTCTCTCTCGTGAGGCCAACACAGAAGTGACTTAAACTGTAATCGTCAACTGGCCGCTAGAGGCTGGCTGCAAAAGGGAGTCAATCCCATAGACTCCCCATGTTAAAATGCCCAACTTTACAGCAGAAAAAAACATGTTTACAGCCTGGTTCAAAAAATTATTTTGGTCTATATAGCTAATTTTGCCCTTCATGACAGCTGTGAGGGGGGTGAAGTTTTTTATAACTCATCCATTTAAATTATATTAAGCCTTAAAGTTCTGCATAATTAAGGGCGTGGCCACTTGAGTGAAAGGTGGATTGCAGCTGCTGTCACCACTGTCGAGCTAAGTGGGCGTGGTTTCAGCAACCAGCTCCCGCCTCTTTGCCCATTTTCGATTATCCGGGAGTGACGCGCTGCCAAGATGGCGACGGCAGCCTCCGCCCACTTTGAGCTTCAAAAACGCTCTTCGGAAGCCTCCGGGTGACGTCACGGACACTATGTCCATGTTTTTATACAGTCTATGATAATAACAAAGGTTTCCAAATACATATAGCCTCTTTAATTGTAAAGGGCTCCAAAGTTGCAAAAATACACAAAACTACATACAGTTGCTTTAAAGTGAAAGTGAAAGACTGTAGGCTTCAAGTGACCGTTAAATATCAGTCAGTTACCAGAACACAATGGTCGGGGACTAAAGACTCCAAGGCTCAAGAAGGCATAAATTGTGCATAAGACTGTGTGCTGCCTTTTAAAAATGAATGTTGTTTTTTTTATTAGCATATTACCTGTTTGCTAATGACATGCTTTGACTGTACATTTTGTAAGCACTTGCTTCTTAACGAAATCAGTGTGAAGCTAATGTTTTTCATACTTGGTGTAAAAACTACATATATAATCATGTTTAATGGTCCCCAGGGGGATTTTCTGGTTATAGCACTCTCAAGCTGTGGTAAGAATGTGTGAAGGTTAACAAACCAGTGAGGAGTTGAAATGAATACTACTTTTTTTCTTTACATTCCTTGACGGCTATTTGTTATTAAGACTATTTAGATGCATGTGCACTTCACACTATATAGTCAATTAATATTATTAATTATACCTTTTATAGTTTAAGGTATATAAGTACAGATTTTTTTGTTGGCATATAATACTGGTTTAGTTTTCACTTGTTGTAATGAAGTTGATATGCATCATTAGTTATTATTTTAATTACTGTAACCAACTGGTATAAATATATTTTATTTGAGGTGTTATCATATTTATTTCATCATTTTTTCTGTATTTCTCATGTAAAATCCATCCATGAGTCAATTTGTAAATGCATTTAAATCAGCTGAATAAATGTAAATAAATTTAACCTCAAATGTTTTTTTGTTGTTGTTTTTTTTTATAAAGTAGCCTAAGTAAATGCTTAGGCATCATCAGATGCATTTTGGTGGTTGCAATTACAATACACCCCCTATTCTCACTACTACCAAAGTGTCAAATAACTTTCACATCTCATACAGCTTCCATTAGTCTTCATAACACTTGACTTTTGAATAACATCTCATGTGACATCTGCTAGTGACAATATGCAGAATCTTGTGAAAACGTACGTTATCTTCAGAATGCATCGCACGCGCTCTGTCCCACCACACTGTGGCCATCACTGCTGTGCTCTTATTGACAGTAGAGCATAACCGCTTTCTTTATGGCTGTGCATGCGAGAAAGACGCAAGATGGAAACCACCAGGCTGAAGCGACTGTGGCACTATTCGGGTTCTCTTTCACATCATGTGACTCAAACTGTGGGGTGTCAGCAGATTACTCTCTCTCTCTCTCTCTCTCTCTCTCTCCTCATATTTGTGCAAGGCTTCCTGTCCATTAACGTAACAGGGCATCTTCACCGAGAGTTAGAAAAGGGGGAGGGACTGTAATGTGTGTGCGAGCGTAGTGCATATTACTCCGGATTACTCAAGAGTATTTGGCATTACAATCACAAATGAAAACAAAACATTAACAGATGAAACCTCTGATTTGAGTTTGATATGATTACAAAACGTGTAGCAGTGTAGCAGAAAGTTTAATACCTCACAAAATAATGTCAAAATGAAACAAAGACAAACTTGAAGCATTTAATTTCAGTATATTCTTTCAAATCAAGGTTAGCAGAAAGTTTACACTGCTCTTTTCCATACAATGTGAAAGTGGATGGTGACCAGGGGTTGTCAAGCTCCAAAAATGACAAAATGCACCAGAAAAGTGAGCCATATGAAAGTGGGTCTTCTGAGGCTACAGTATGCAATAGCTTTGCAATAGCAAAAAGCCGAAATTTAAGATGCTATTCACTGATAATCTTTCCCCCTGTGCAGTTCTCAAACCTCATTCATGTTTATGTACTGTATGTTCAAACATGGCACATCAAACCCAGGTTTAAGTCTACGATGCCATTTTTTCCCCCATGTGTCTCACATTTGCATGAAAAAGAGCTGCGTGAACATCTTGCTTAACATTTTTTTGTGTTTGACTAAATAATGATAGAATTTTCATTTTGGAGGCAAATGTTCCTTTAAATATATCTAGAGTTACTGTACAAGGTCAGAAATTGTACATTCAGGGGTACAACAGCGTGATTCTGGGGACAGCTAAGGTACAAAGGACTGCTTTGTACCTTATCTACCCTTAAAAGGTGCAAATTAGTAACTTAGAGTAGTAATATGTACCCTTAAGGGACTACTATTAAGGCCTGTTCACACCAAGGATGATAACTATAAAGATAATGATATAGTTCTAAAAATCGTTCTCAACATTAAAGAATAGCAGCGTCCACACCACAGCTATAACACTAAAGGCACAGAGAAACGATATTGTTGAAATCACTTTCAGAATGATTTTTTCCAGCTGATGAATGATAAAAACATTGACACCCAATCAGAATCAATCCTGCTATCATGACCTTGAGAATTTAAAGTGGTAGACAAGTGTATGCTTAGAATAAACAGACAATATAATCCGCTGGTGTGGACGCTATTATAGTTATATTTATAGTTATCATTCTTGGTGTGAACAGGCCTTTAACCTTTCAGGGTACTGCCTAAATGACAAGCTTTTTTTTTTCTGAGAGAGTATTATTGTTTTCAGTGTACATCTGCAATAAAAGGCAACTTGCTCCATTACGTCATGTTTAATGAGCTTTCATATTCTTGTACAATCAATGTACATCTAATATACACCCAAATGCTGACACATAACTGAAGATGTTACAAGTGTGCTCCACAAGTCACTTCCCTTTCAGCATCAGTGGTTTGGTCAAAAAGATAAATTCATAATCTACCTCTCAACAGAGCCTTTCACACTGTAAATGTTTATCTACATTTCTCTGCTTTGCATATTGGCTATTATGTAGACACTTGCATTGGTTGTCCTCTTCATAGTTTTGGTTAGCGGAGTTAATCATTGATGTATGAAAGAATGCACTGAAAACTCCTACAATACCACATAGACCTTTTTCATCTCGTTTGTGGTAAAAAATAAGAGGTGTTGGAGCCGTATGAACAAGCCTGCTGTTCGGCCTTCTCTCTTGCTCACTCTCTCTGAGTTTTTAATGTGCACAGAATGAGGAAGTTCACTCTTGTGTTTGTGGCAGCTTCCTTTTTGCAGCTTTCGCCTCTCTTAACAGGAAGAGAGAGAAACAGCGAGCCTAGAGCCAGACAGAGCAGGAGCGGCTATCGGTTCTAACAACGCCATGAAACAAAACTCTGAAGTTGGGCTCATGTTGATCTGCTCTTGAAAACTTGCCGGGGCCAAAATAACCTGGGTGTCTTCAGACTGAGGAAGGGAAAAGTCTTTGGAAAGGATGTTGTCTCACCAGCCATGGTACCATGGCAATATCACTCGGTCTACAGCAGAGGACCTCCTCTCCAAAGCAGGCAAGGATGGGAGCTTCCTCCTGCGGGACAGCGAATCCATACAGGGAGCTTATGCCCTCTGTGTTCTGTGAGTATTGTTGCTGTTCATCTCAGGTGGAGGGGCACATATGCTGTCACTAATATTATAGATGAAAGTTTTGGATCTTTAAGTGTGTTCGAGTAGGTATGCAGTTTATATTTGCAGTGTGTTTTGGACGATTTGCATGAGATGACAATTGAGTCAGTCATAAATGCATCGTATAAAACATGCTCGGTTTTGCGGCACTGGCCATGCAACCTTATTTGGATCAAATATATATATATAAACATCACGGCTTTTGAAATCACATATTATGCAAATGGCTTCCTTCCTACTTTGTGTGCATATTGTCAAATTAATTACCAGGTAAAATGCTATTTCATATAAACTCTTTCCAAAAAAACTGTAAACCTTGTATGTCAGGTTCGGGTGAAGTGTGTTTTGCAAATGTTTCTTTAAATCATGCAGTGAAAAAAGTTTGCATTTATGTCCAATGTGATTCCCTGTACAGTGAAATATTAACAAACAGTGTTGAGTGAGACTGAAGGAAGTTGGTAAGGGGTTTCCCATAATTGTTGCTTTTGGCAAAATGGCATTTTTCAATGTTTATGTTCAATTTGTGATATATGTGTGTGTGTGTGTGTGTGTGTGTGTGTGTGTGTGTGTGTGTGTATATATATATATATATATATATATGCAAATTAATGTTTTAATCTTCTCATTCTTTTGCAGGTACCAAAACTGTGTGTATACCTACAGAATATTACCAAATGAGGACAAAAACCTGTCAGTCCAGGTAAGAAATTCTCAATTTTCTACCTGGTAGAAGTTACTGACCTCTGGTGTTTCATTGGCTTGAAACTTCCTGCAATTGCTCTGCTTTCGTACTCGCACAGACAGGTGTTTCGTGTGCGCTGGGGGTCTATTCTGAGTTGTGCACTGAGGCACTTCTGCTTGTGACGTCAAGTATTCGAAAGTTGCCCGAATGGTGTGTTTAGTTGTTTTAGTGAATATAAAGCTTTTATGGTGTGCCTGAAAAGTATTTGGACACTTTTTGGAAGCATAATACACAGTTAAAATGATGTAATTTCATTCATTAGGTTCAAAATATCAAGTCAAGTGGCATCTGCAAGCATGTAGAGATTTTGATCAAATCTAACTTCACTTTTAATCCATTGTTCCGCTCAATTTTACAAGTAAACCACAGGTGTGATTCATTACCTCTATATTCTACTAAATTCTGAAAACTAAAAAATTTTCACTTTTTGTCTCCAATTTGAACAATATATTGTTTATTTAATTCTTAAGTATATTAGTAATTTGGAAGCTTCTTTTGTGAAATGTTTCAGCTCAAAAGTGTGTTTGTGCTGTAAGTCGTTATCTATTACAATGAAATTTATACTTTTTTTATTAGACTTAAGTGTTCAGTATTTTTTTTTTGTCCCACTGTATTTATTATTAATGTATTTTAATTATTTTATCTACAACACCATTCATTTCCTGGTTGCACTAAAATAGTGAAAAAATAATACAATAAAACCACAATGAGACAAAAAGTCAAGGCAAATATAATCAATCCTCTACTAATTATGTGTTGTGCTCATAGTCTGCTGGTCACTTGACAAAACACTGTCCATCTTTATGACTAGTTACAAAGAACATCTGGCATCCTACAAGGCATTTACTATCTTGTGCTTGGTAATGAATGCGTGACCTTGTGACAGTTGGCTCTTCAGCTGCCGAAGACTCCTTGAGATCGTTCTGTAGGCGTCTTGTCTGTCAGGCTAGTATCTATTATGTCCACTGCATTAAAGCAAGCATTGGTGACAGTGCAGCTGCAAAACCAGTTGGTGGTTTTATTCAAACTGACAAATGAAATAATGAAAGCAAAATGGGTGACTATAATTTGCATTGTTCTCTCTCAGCGTTACATTTCGAAGTAACCTGCACTCAAGGGACAAGGCTAAACCAAAAACTGCAGAGTTGTACAATGCCCTTCAATGTCTTTCTACCACAGTTCTTCCTCTTTCAAGCCTGCGTTGCAGCACAGCCTCAGTTTTAAATTATCCATCAGCGTGGGTGTTAAGCAAGCCACAGGGTTCCTCTTGCACCCTGCCTTGAATGGAAAGTTTCAAAAAAGTGTCATATTATTGAATTAGATTTGATCGATTCAATTTAAATACACCATTTGTGCTGACCTTTAAACCATAGTACGAGAATGTGGGAGGTTTTTATGCTAAGATTGCGCTTGTCGCCTGTTGTCAGTCGGACATCTTGTGATAGGCCATGCTAAGATGGAGGACGTGTTTAAATTATTTTGTGTGCAATGCTAAAAATGCTGCCATTTTCCCTAACGTCTCTTCCTAGCCAAATGTATGAAGAGACTTTCATATTACAATTAGGGACTATAAGTTTTATGTAATGTCAGGGGCATTTTGGTTTGTTAACGGAAGACAATGTTCTATATCTGTGCTGAATTTTGATACTGTGTGGTTTTCCACATCAAATACCAATCATTAGATCACTGTTTTTGGTATTTGTTGTTACTTTGTATTAGTTTGCATATAATTGGGTCAAAACATTTGCTGAGCATCAAGACGTACTGTAAGTCAAATCAGGTGACTAAGAGCTTATACTCCAAAGTCCTTTGAAAACAGTGGCTTATAAAACCTACTTGGCTTCAACTGAGCACATTTTTTTAAGAGAAACCATGCAAAATGAAGAAATGCAATGTACTGCTATTTGTTTTTGACAATGAAGAGAGTCACTGGAAGTATTACTGGGGGTGTTGCGCATGTTTAAGCAATTAAGGATTTTGTATATCGTAAAAGGCCATAAATCTTGTACATCTTCAGAATAGCAGATCTTTCTTGTTCATCTTGTTGCAGGCATCCGAGGGTGTGCCTATTCGGTTCTTCTCTGTGCTGCCAGACCTAGTGGAGGCATATTATAAGGAGAACATGGGTCTGGTCACACACCTTCAGTATGCTGTGCAGAAAGAGGAGGAGCCGGAGGAGGAACCAGGTAAGTGAATCACAATAAGCTTTCACCATAGGTTCATGTCCGTGTTTTGAATTTTTCTAATTTAATTTTTCATTGCAAATTATTTCATTATATTTTTATTAGAAATTACAAATGATATTATTATTACAGACAATATTATTAGCATAACAATTTGAGTGAAAAGTTTGATTAAAGAATAAATTCATGGCTTTTTTCTTTTTTTCATTATTATCAGAATTTTTTTGACCCCATTGTACGTTTAGATACTATTTCCCAGTAAATGTAAGCTTTGAATTTTAATGGTTTCATTCAAGGACACTATTTGGTCAAATCTCCATTTCCACAGAGCCATGTAGTTTGCCGCCTCAGTTGCCACCCAGGAATATCACAAGTAATGAATGTAAAGACGGCCATAGTGACTCGTCCAGAGGAACCGATAGGGGAACGGAGCTTGCCCGCCCCTCCATCTCAGACACCTATATCCAGCGTTTGCAGCAAATCGACATATCAAAGTACAATGAGATTTATCTTTATTAAGTACAATCCCTTGTTAAATACACTATGATTTAATGATTTTTGACTGTTTTAGACTGTCAATTTAGAGTCACTGTAGTGAGTAGCATTGTTCTGGCGTGCTAATGATTTTGATGTTTGATATCCAGTTTACCAGAGGACCATCAGAAGTCCATCCAGGAATATTTCCGCTCATCTGTTTGTGTAGATGCAGAGCAGGCACAGAATGGCAACCCGACTCTTCCCCACTTTAAAAAGCTCACACAGAGTATCTGCAAAAACCTAAACAGGTACAAATAGTCTGAAACATATACAGTTTGAATCTTAAAACACCTGGATGCCCTCATGAATTTTATCCAATGTGCATTTAATTGACATTCCTACTTTTTTGTAGTGAAATTGCCCGCACACTTCCGAGTCTTGAGGCACTGCAGAAAGTTTTGGATCAACCGTTGTCTCCTGGAGTGGGGAGACTAAGGAGTCAGGTCAGTAAAAATGAATCAAACCAGGAAGTGTTATTCCTGATTTCAAATGTCCACCCTCCTGAGGTGACAGTAGATGCTTGTAAGTCTCTGTGTACAAATATATAGAATTTACAGGCCACAAAATGTAATTGGAGGTAAGAAAATACAATTAAAGGGGTCATATGATGCTGCTAAAAAGAACATTATCGCATCATATTACCCCTTTAATTTGATATAAAACAAGTACATTTGTGATTTAATGAACAACTTTTTGTGTGTGTGTGTGTGTGTGTGTGTGTGTGTGTGTGTG